CAGAGGCTACTTTATGAGGTCAGCAGAAAGCTGCTAAATCAACACTGCTTTGGTTTTCTTTAAGATTTATTTGTGTGTGTGTGTGTGTGTGTGTGTGTGTGTGTGTGTGTGTCTGCATGTCTGTGTATATGTATGCCAAGGGTATGGGGGTGCCTGTAAAGGCCCAGAAAAGGATATTGGATTCCCTTGGAGCTGGAGTCACCGGCAGTTATGAGCTGTTCAGTGTGGGTGCTAGAGACTGAACTCTGCCCTCTGGAAGAGCAGCGTGCACTCTTCATTGCTGCAGCATCTCTCCAGCCCGTTCCTGTCGTCTTCAGCCTTCGCTTGAGCCAGCTGTTGCATATTTGTGGCAATGAGTTAAAAATAACAATCTAACTAAATATTTTCTCTAAGAAAATTATTATAGTATCAGAGAGATAGCCTAGCCAGCAGGGGTGCTTAACACCAAGCCTGACAACCTGAGTGTGATCCCTGGGATGCCTACTGTGGAAGAAGAGAATGACTCCTGCACACTGTCCTCTGACTTCCACAAGTGTGCCATGGAACACGCACATTCACACACATACAAATAATTATAGAAACAATGTAAACACTATTATAGTTCTGGTAATAATCTGTGGAGCCATCTGCAAAAGTTTAAAACAGCACTGGTGGGTTTAATAGTTGATTAAATCCATTATTAGGATGATGGTGTGCTTTGCCATTCGCAAATCATGGTCATAGACAATTTTACTAAAACTTCACACACACAGCACAAAGATGCACACCCACAAGGTGACAGGAGACAAATGGGAATAATGCGGAAAGCAGACAGGTGACTGCTTCATGGGCAGACTGAGATCATGCTCTGTGGATGAGAAAAGGGTCCCCAAAATCAAGTTAAACCAACTTACGTAAAGGATCACAGACAGCCTAACCCACTCTGAGTACTTTCACATTATCCGTGCACTCTGTGCTTTACAGTTACACCGGATGATTTAAAATTCATTCCACTTACAAAGCATTATTCTCGATGATGTTTAAATTCATTCCATTTACAAAGCACCATAATCTCTGTAGAATTTAGAACTGTTATCAGTTTTAATCTAGCCATTAAAAAACACAGATAGTAAGGGACAAAGTTTGGGGATGCGGTAAATAATTTTGGCTGTCGGTCTTCCCTCTTGCTAAGTATTTCACAGGCTTTTGACCAGTAACATAAAGTCTGTGATCAGAATGTAATATGCTAATCTATTTCCTCTAAAGAACCCAGTGATGTGGTTTATTGAATTTTGCCAGTGATACCACAGCCCTTTCATTTCGTAAGTACCAAAAAATATGGTCTTCCTTCTTAGAGAAATGGAGTAAATAATGACTTATCCTTCACAGTACTAGTAATTGAATGTCTCAAATGGGGTATCTAGCAGAACATGAATGTGAAATAAAGTTATGAACGTGTTTACAATAAAGGCACGGGGTGAACTGGAGCAACGTTAGGAGAAAATGAGGAAAATAAATGGTTAACTGCCAGCACACACACTCGTGCTCCAGGACACAAAAAGGTTCACAGCAGTTGTTAAATTCATTTAGAGAAACTCGGGTAGTTTCTCCAGCAGAGCTCTCACCAGCCAATCTGTATTACAGCCTGCAGGAGTCCTAATATTCTCAGCAGGATCAAGATTCGGGCCACACTGATTCAGCCATTTAATCTTGCAAGAGAACAATATTTGGCAGGAAAAGACCCTGCAGCACCGAGGGGACGTCCCAGTGGTTTGTTGTCAGCACAGACTGGGCCAAGAACACTGAAGGTAGAAACCAAATAGCACTAACCAGCGTTCACATTTCCTTCCATCAGCTCTTCCCTCGAACACACACATGCACTCAACATATATGTGAAAACACACATACCACCTACACACAGACAACCACTTCAGAGATGAATGTGTTTTTTAAAATGTTTTTAGTCAGCCCTCTCATGAAAAACTCAAAATTTAAAAGCATAGATGGAGGAAGGAAAGGAGATGCATGAAAATATCCTAATTATACCTTTGACTTTTTAAATACTCCAAAAGCACTGGAAACAAAAAACCAAGAAGCACAGGTAAGTTTACATATGCAAACATACATATATATATACATACTGGCCAACACTTTTCCATAATTAAATTTTTATGGCATTTTATGGATAATAGCATGATCAGATTAAATGCAGTGCTCTGTTTTGTGGAGGAAATCTATATTTCCTCATTTATACTCCTGTTAAGCCATGTAGGTGGTTTGATTTAATTCTGAGGTCTTTTAAGTATCCATACTGATGGACAATCAAGGAATTGGGAAAACACATATGGGGAAATGATAAAACAAAACAAAATGTATCGAGCCTGCTAGTCAACAGTGTAAATCACTATTCAACTCAATGACTCACTAAAATTATTTTTCGGTATGTGTGTGTATGGTGTATGTGTGTGGTGTATATGCACATACACTTTGGGGGTACACACAGCCATGTGCATGCAGAGACCAGAGGAGGACTTCACCTAACTTACTCTGTTACTCTTCACCTTCCTCCTTTGAGCCAGGATCCCTCACTGAACCTGGAGCTAGGCTAACAGTCAGCAGGTCCCAGCAACCTTTTGTCTCCACTCCCTGACAGAACTGCAGTTACAGGCATGTGCATCCATGCCTAGCTTTTTTGAGAGTTCTGAGGATTTAAATTTGGTCCTCAGGCTTGCATAGCAAGTGCTCTTACCAGCTAAGCACTCTCTCTAACCCCTCAGTAAAATTCTTTAAAAGTCATTTTTTAATATTTTATTATTTTTATTTTATGTGTGTGAATGTGTTACCTGCATGTATACAAATTGTACATCTGTGTTGTGCAATGCCCACGGAGGGCAGAAGAGGGTGTCAGATCTCCTGGACCTGGAGTTACAGAAAGATGTTAGCTGCCATGCGGGTGCTGGGAATCGAACTTGGATCCTCTGCAAGAGCAGTCAATGCTCCTACCTGCTGTCATCTCCCTAGCCCCTCAGTAAAATTCTTTTAAAATGATTTTTAAATAGTAAGGCCAAGGGTTCTATTTCTTTGCCTGAACATGAGCTGGTTGATCCTCTCATATGAACATAGTGTTTCCCTGTGTCCAGCACTAATCACCCTTAATCAGGCATATCATCTAATTTAGTGTAAAATGCTGCTGTGGTGGGTTCTCTGCTAGCTTACCAGAGGCTAGCAACAAGCTTCCTGGGGTCATGATCATGCTTATTTTATTTCTTACTCCGCATCTCCTAGCGAAGCTCCTGGTGCACAGCAAACACTCAAAAAACGTTTAACTTAATAACTAAATTCCCAAATGTGATTTCTTCTACAGAATACTCATTTTGGATTCTAGATGCCAAAAATAGACATGCCTGAAAATACAGCTGCTTCCCTCAGCAACATAACCTCAACACACAATTCAGCAGGGGGATGGATTTCACCTGCACCTAACACTCACATGCTGAGTGCTTAACATAGTTAACCCTCCCCGATGTCTTTTCTACATCATGTCCCTTCCATTGGACCGTCCATCTTCACGAAAGTCCCTCCAGGTGGCGGCAAATGATCTAGTGTGACCATGAATGGCTTATGGTAGAGGAGTTTCTCTCTTCCTCTGAAACCCACAGGGCCTGATGTAATGTGATGCTCACAGCCAGTGTTTACTGAACAAACATGTGTTCATGAAAGACAATTGTGCTCAAATACACAGTTTCCATGTCCATATTATTCTGTATAACAGAGCACTGTGTTCTGGAAGATTGAAGCCAGGTACAATGGCACATGCCTAGACTCTCAGCTACTCAGGAAGCTGAGGTAGGGAATCACTTGAGCCCAGAAATTTGAGATTAGCCTGAGCAACAAAGGGAAACCCTGATTCTAAAACAAAAGCAACAAATTAAAACTTCAGCTTGTCCTCAAAGGTTTCACAGAAAGAAAATGGCAAAAATAAATACTCAAGTCATTTTAGTAGAAATTAATTCTCTGTATCCAAAATAGTGAATGTGTAGACAAGAATCTGGGGAAATAGCTTAGTGGTGAAATGGTTGTCTAGCATGCCCAATGCCCTGGGTTCCACCACCAGAACTGAAAGGGAAGAGAAGAGAAGAGAGGAGGAGGAGGAGGAGGAGGAGGAAGAGGAAGAGGAGGACGAGGAGGAGGACGAGGGGGAGGAGGAGGACGAGGAGGAGGATGAGGAGGAGGAGGAGGAGGAAGAGGAGGACGAGGATGAGGACGAGGAGGACAAGGAGGAGGAGGGGGGGAGGAGGAGGGGGAGGAGGAGGAAGAAGAGCAGGGAGAGGAGGAGGGAGAGGAGGAGGGAGGAGGGGAGGAGGAGGAGGAGGACAATGACTGCAATGATGACTTTTGAGCTTTTTATTCTTTTTTCTAAATCCATATTCTTTTATCTACCTTGCCAAACACAGCCAAATTTGAACATGTCTGTAATTCTAAGAAGGCAATAATTCAAAGCTTAATTTAAGCAGATTAAAAGTCAGCTTTGTTACAGTCAATATAACCACTAAAGAAAAAAAAGTGGAAAAAATACAGGCAAGCCCAAATATGGTAATTTCCTGATTCTCATTCTTTGGTTTCAGCAGAGTCTGGGAGTCTCCACAAAAGGAATGAGTCCTTCAAACAGAAATTCAGAGATGCTTTTAACAAGTAGCATCACATGGCTCTGCACAGAAAAGAGCTAGACCCTAACCCTCGTGGCCATGATGGGAAAAAAGACTACAGAAGAAAGCATGGGCAACAAAGATGGGAAATTTTCATGACCTAGACCTTGTAGGAAGAGGAAATAGCGAACATAGCTGGGTATATTCACATGCACACACGTGCACATGCACATAGGTACACATGCTTGCAGCTTCCAAATCATGGCCAACTCTCTCATTGCACATACCTGTCTTGGGCTACTAATGGGCTTGGAATCAAATCTTTGTACAACTTCTCTCTTGAATCATGACTAAAAAGACAAGTTTTAAACTTACCTCCCAAATCCACCAAAATCATAATTATGTGACACAGTTATTAATGATAGTCCACAAATATTTCTTTAATATTTCCAGTTTTTCCTTTACATTCAGGATGTTCTTAACATGAATATGTCCCAGAAAACAAAATCTGTAAGAAAATTCAGATGCTTTGTAAGTTTGAAGTCTTTGTATAATACACTGAAATTAAGACATCCTCTGCAAAATGGTCTCAGTCAGACCCCCTCGGGCACAAAAAGCTCTGGAGGCTATCTCAGTCCTCTCCGGCTTTTATTCACATCAGCACAAGCCCAAATGCCAACCCCAACATGCAAAGTCTACATTCTGAACTCCATCATTCAGTCAAGAAAGACCCAGAAAGTTCTAAAACACAGTGACTACTCTTCATCATTTTCATTTCAGTCAATAAAGATAGCTCAAAATCTCAGAGAAAAAGAAGTCTAAGGACTGAAATAGAATCTAGAAGATTTCTTAAAATCTTTCTATTAATTCTTTGAAAACCTCATACAATGTATTTTGGTCCTATGTAGACCCCCTCCCCCACTTGACCTGCCCCTCTTCATAGCCTCTACTATTACTTACTTTTGAAAAGGCTTATCGAGTTTAATCTGTGTTTCCCAAATGCTCTTGGGTGTGTGTATGTCCCTTGGAGTTTGGTCAACCTACCAGGCATCATACCAGTAAGGAAAACTGGCTGCCCCTCTCCTAGCATCTATCAATTGCCAATAGATCCTTACTTAGGGCTGAGACATTTGCCCACCTCCCCATCATGGCTGGATTTTTGTCTGGCTTGGGTTTACATAGGTCTTAGGCATGCTGTCATAAACCCTATGAGTTCATATGTGCAACAACCCTGTGGCATCCAAACAACACAGTTTCCTTGTATTCATCTACCATCTCTGATTGTTACAACTCTGGCCCCCTCTCCCCCTGAGCCATGGGAGCAGAGGGTGCTATATAGATGTGCCACTTAGGGCTGAGCAGTCTGCAGTCTGGTATTCTCTGCACATTGACCAGTTGTGAGTCTAGTAATCTCCATCTGCTTCAAGAAGAACCTCTGGTGAGGGCTGAGCAAAGCACTAATCAGGCTGGGTGAACTCGTGGCTCTCTAGAAGAATTTGAGATTGCTCATATTGATAATAAGAAAATGTAAAGACTTGAATTGGAAATTTGTCTGGAATGGCAGAGGTAGAAGGTTGCATCTTCTGAGGTCACTAAGAAACTGGCTTGTGATGGCAGTTTACAGTTGTATCCTGCTTTAAAGCATGTATGTCACCTCAAAATTTCCCTGTAATGTCTGTAGACTGTGTATTCAGGGACTATTCAGGACTATTGAGGACTATTACTATTCAGTCCTGCAAAGGACAGATTGTGTACTCTCATCACCAACCCAAAATACTCATATATAGAAGCCCTAGCCACTAATGTGACTGTATTTGGAGACAAGTCTTCAAGGACCTAAACCAAAGTTAAATAAGGTTGCAATGATAGAACCTCAATCTCATTAGATCAATGCCCATATAAGAAGAGGAAACACCAGATTTCCCATGCATGCACCTGCATACACCAAGGAAAGGCTGTGCAAAGATACAGAGGAGACAGTGATAGTCTACAAGTCAGGAAGAAAGTCCTCAGCAGAACCCAGTCCTGTTGAGCCTAAGGTACCCAGGCCCTAGGCCTATGAAAAAATAAATCTCTGTTGTTTTTAGCCACCCAGCCTGTGGTAATTTGTGATATTAGTCTGTTATAGTTTGAATATAAAATGTTCCCCACCCACCCAAAGACTCATGTGTTTGAACATTTGATCCCCAGTTGATGCTACTATTTTGAAAGGTTGTGGAAACAGTTGAAGGTTGTAGACATGGTGCCAAGCTGGCATACATACACCAAGGGGGCAGACCTAGAAGGGGAGAACTACTGCTAGTTCTTATCGGAGCACCTGCTTCTTCAACTGCCAAGGTCTGAAGAGGTGATGCCTTTACTGCAAGCTCCCACCACCATTAGCCAAAATGCTTCCCTGCCTTCTCCATCACTCTGGACATGATGCTTCCTATGAAGCATCAGCCAAAACCGCTCCCTTAAATTGCTTCTGTCAGGAATTTTGCCAGAGTGGTGAGAAGAGTAAGTAATATACCACACAAGCACCTACCATAAGTTCTAATTGTTTGTTTTAGGTTCTATTGTTGCTATTGTTTTTAGGTCCTTAAGTCAGACACCTGAAGAAATCCTCAGGCCACAGTGTTCTAGAACAGGGATAGTCCTTACATTTCCAATATAAGCAAAGCCTTGGGTAATACACTAGGAAGCCATCTGCCATGCTTTACTGAGGAAGTATTGCTGCAATCATTTAGTAAAACTATAGAAGGCACCAAAAACTGAAGTAGAATATAGTAAAATAAATTAAATAAATAAATAAATAATCAAGCAGAGGAAACAAGAATGGCAAACTTCAAAGAAATTCTTTAAACTAAAGACCCTTGAAAAGAGGGGTTTCATGAGAAAGAAGCTGACTGCCAGAGCACCAAGGAAGAGACCAAGGTTGGGAACGAGAGGGGAATAGCTGAGCCAGTGTGAACAGGAAAGAGACAAAGAGCTTTCTAGACGTGTAAAGTGCATGGGACTTAGGACAGGAGGTCTCAGCTAAACCAGGGAACAGCCTCACTTTCCACACAAAATATTTTCCCTAAAGGCAGTAGGGAGCCATGGACAGATTCTCAGAGAGACCATTGGCAAGATGAGATGTTTATTTTACAAAGAATTTGTAAGTACTCATGATGGGAATGGCCTGGGATGGATCAAAAAAGTTAAGACACTACTTCAGAATCCCAGCAAGAGATAGAGACATGTTCTAAATAAAGGAGGCAAACATCACGCTGTGCCATTTAGACATTAAAAACTTAATGAAAATTACATGATCTTTGCTTTCCTGAGTTAAAGCGGTAAGACAATTAGATGCATGAAATGCCAATTATAACCAAAATGTACAATATGATGTTTGACACAAATGTACAAATGATGATGCTGGGCCACAAAGTACTGTAAGGGCTAGAGGTGAGGAGAGCTCTAGATGGCTTGTGAGTGTGCATCTGGGATCAGGGGTTCAGGTCATCATTTACCAATACTGTTAAATTGGCTGAAGAAAGAGAGATGACTCATGCAAAAGTCCAGAACAGACTGGTAGGGTTTGGACCCCCAGCAACTCCCTCCCCCAGTGCAGCAGGGCCCGATGGGTTTGCAAGCCTCTGAGAATGCAGGAACCAAGTTGATGAACACCCTGGTCTTTGAAGTCAAGAGAAGCAGACTTTTCTGTACCTTTTGGCCAAAGGCAGCTTGCTTTCCCTTTGATGATATTGGAAGACAAGATAAACAGACTACACCTTCTGACCAGAGACCCACGGAGTCGCTTCAGCACAGCAGGCTTTCCTTTTGATGATCTTAAAGGGTAAACAGATCCTGGCTGACAGAAGGGGGTGGTTTTTCACAGAAGCTGTTCCGATAAACCCTGGGTTCCCACTTCCCGTTCCCCCCCAACCCCCTGCCTAATTTTTTAAATATGTTCCCGCCTTCTGCATCCCCTAAGGACCCCTATAAAGACCCCAGCCCATGACCCATGGGCTGACATTTTCCCTACCTGGAAGGGAATCTGTCCCATGCGAATCTTCCTTTGCTAATAAACTCTATCCCACTGGAGTTTTTATTTGTGTCCTGGTACTTTCTACTGATTGACCCGATTCATCTATCTGCTTCATCTATCACAGACTAAACGTCCAGGCCTAAAGCAAACAGACAAACACTGTTACTCCTTACAAAGGTAAGGAGAAAACAGCCCGGGGTGACTGTGAAAGGTCTTTAGAGTCCCATAAGAGGCTTAGGAAAGTAGAAGTCATTTTGCTTAAAGTGGAGGGCGAAGAGTTTTTTTAGTGGGTGACAATTAGGATCTTGATGAAGGAGATACTTTAGAAAGCCTCATCTGGTAAGCGTTTAAGATACAATGGAAAGAGCGAAAAGTTCCTGGCCGTAGACAAGGCCAATTCAGAAATGACTGCAGGCTGCATCAGGAAAGAAGCCCAGACGTGGTGGGATCGGGAAAGGTAACTGGGACAGGCCTTCACAAAAGAAGGATCTTGAGAAACCGTCTGTTGGATCCCTCATCTCTGTCTCCAAGCGGAAGTCACAGGTGTTAATTCTCATGTTATGGTGGCTCTTCTCAAACCTCCCTCAAGACAAGGCCAGTTAGCAAGAACTGTTCTGTCCATGCACAAGTAATTACTGGTCTGGGACATATTTGTTTCTTTAAGTGACTATGGCTAAAAAATTGGGGATAAAAAGCAGAGATCTGCCTTTGAAGTTCTGCCCTACATGAAAACATAAAGCAGAAACAGGTGTGAGGGAAATCATGAATGCAAAAGAAAAGGCCAAGAGGTAAGTTTCCATATATTTTTCTTGTGAATGTCTAAGTATTCCTTATAGAAATCCTTTCCCTGAGGAGAGAGGTTGCTCAGAGGATCTAATTAAGCAGACTGTGCCAAAGTGTTCCAAAATGTATGAGGTATTCATGAACATGTGTTAGACATTAGAAGAAAAATGTGGCTGCTGCCCCATCACTCTCTTTGACATATTTGATCTCTGCCTCCAAAAATAATGCTACTGACCAACTGTTACTTTAGATTACATCAGAGTCACTAGTCAAGATGAGCCGGGTATTCAAGCAACACGGAGGTCCTCTCTAAAACTATGAGCCAAGTCGTCAAGTCTTTCTTTACCCTCAGCCTCATAAATAATTGATTCTGTTAATCAACCTAACGGTGAGTTAAAACAAAACACCACTTTTTACAAATTACTTAGCATGCTAAATTTAACTTCTCAAAATCAAAAAGCTTTCATACAAATTTTTCTTCAATGAACATTATATATTTAATTTTTATTATTTTTATTATTTTTATTTTATGTATATGGGTGTATTTCCTGCATGTTGTGCAGTGCCCATGGAGGTCAGAAGAAGGTGTCAGATCCCCTGGAACTGGAGATATGGGTGGTTGTTAGCCACCATGTGGGTGCTGAGAATTGAACCCAACCCAGATCCTTTGCAAGAGCAGTCAGTGCTTTTACTGCTGAGCCATGACTCCAGGCCAGAAAGTTACATTTCTTATATACAAAAGAAAATTAACAAAAAAGTCCATTTTTATGTTAAATGACTTTCTAATTTGTATCTTTCTCTCCTCTCAAACCATACTTCTTTTATGTTTGTTATGTACAGAATGAACAAAAACTCCTCCTAAGTCAGCCGTCCAGATTTTACAAGACCTAATTGCCTCCTACAGGATAATTTTGCCACCAGTTTACAATTAGCATTCATTTCTCATGCATGAGTTGACCCAATTACATAACAAATTTTGCCTTGGGGATTTCCCTCGACTGCTTGTCTTCTGTCCACCGTACAACTCAATTTCACACTGTCAGCAGCCTGAACATGGTTACAGTCAGTCTCTGTCAAAATGATTTATTTAAATTACAAACAGAAACCAAATCCCTAGATAATCACCCCTACCCTCTCATGCTCACCCTTATATTCAACCTAACTTTGAATCAAATCTTTTAATACTGCCTAGACACTGTACTCAATTATTAGGCAATGTTTATTTCCAATAATCTAATACTTTTGAAGCTTAACTCATAAAGTCTCAGGGAACTGAATCAGCAGTATCCTTGTGAGCTTATTAATGGGCCTATAATTTATTTTACATTCTAAGTCAATGAAAAATTATGTGGCTGTATCAAAAAAGTTAGAATTAATTACATTTCACTATCAAATTGGAGATTTTGGTCTTAGCTTTTCTTGCAAAGTAAGCAAGCCTTTCTTTATGGATGGGTAGGCTGGGTTGGAAGTGGTAGCAAAAAAAAATATTTGGGAAGCAGAATATATAACCAAAATTATAGGCATTGACAAGGTAAAGGAAATAAGGCAAGAGAAAACACCACATAGTCTATTAAGGCAGTGGTGTAGGGCTACTCAGGGACACTTACTTGGCCACACAAAACTCTCCCCACTGTGCATCAAGGACAGGGACAAAGTCGAACAAATCTGATAATGGCGCACTTGTTAAACTTCAATCAGTCTGTGAAAGGCAATATTTTCTCATTTGTTTCTTTTTCTTTCTTCCTCATACGATATTTTTCTTCCACCTATAATAGATTAGAAAATAAAGACCTCATTTTTATGTACAGCATGAAGTCTGTGAAAATCTTTGAGGACTTGGTTTTACTGCTTTATTTCATGATTCATCCCTAGATTGTCTGGGCTAATTGAAAGTGCAGCGCCTATGAGTGAGGGAAGAGACACAAGAAAACGCATCGGTCATCCCTGGCAGGCCCCACTGGGTCCCTGCCACGCACGCCGGGCACACTGCCCTGCCACCCAGCTGCGGTCACCCTGAGTGCCCACCCTACTTAGAAACTGGATGACAGGAGCCCCCTGAAACTAGAGCTAGAATAACAAGCTAGGACGATATAAAACTTTAAAAAAAAAAAATCAACGCAGAGGCATAGCGGGCCTCAAAACATTCTTGTGCATTGTGTCTTTAAAACACCATCCAAAACTATCATTAAAGAGCATTCAAAGGTTGTAAGGGCATTTCTGAATATATTCTAGACTTTGGAGGTGAGCAGAGGTAGATGGCAACTGAGCAACTTAGTTGTGAAAAACCATAGAATCCACAGTTCCTCGGTCAGCACTGCCCTCTAAGATTCCCAGCTGCAATCTGCTGAACATGGGCTTGAAATATACCTACACTTCTAAACATTGCCTTCAATTAAATTGTTCGGCTGAATATCCTGACTTCCCATAAAACTTGTTTCTAAGTCCAATACATAAACAGCCAGTTAAACTCCATCTGAATATGAACACATCGAATTAAATGAAGACATCTTCTGGTATGCCACTCGGAAAATAAGAACTTTATTTTAGAAGCCAAGTTCTGTTTCTCTCCTAAGGGCAAGTAAACTCTAAACCCTCATTTCTTTTCTGGTTCTTCTGAAGCTATCCTGTGAAACGTAGCAGAAGAATTCTAAATTGCAGTATTTAATAAATCTCCCGTGGTCAATGTTATCATTTTAAGTACCAAAACAAAGAAGGCAGGGCTAACCCATCTCACCTCTTTTATTACACACAATTTGAAATTTAAAGTTGTACTTTATCCCACTCCCCTGTGATATATGCAGACTGAGCAGATATTTCCAAATGACTTCAAGTCCTAGGCAAATGAACATGATAGTGTCTGAAAATTTTTTTTCAGAACAGTGACAGACACAGACACAAGCAATCAAAAATGCCCACTCATCCATAACATATTATCCCAAACACCTAGAAGTTGTCATTAAATCGCTTCTTTATGTCTTTATACTTTCTTCAGTCCAAAGGGTATTAACAGCAGCTTAGAAAGAGCCACCAAATATCCAAAGATAAAAATGAAGTAAACGTATTTTTCAAGTGTAACAAAGAGAAAAATATAGACTGGAAGGACCGCTTAGCTCTCCCACCTAAGTCAGCCTGGAGAGCTAGCGCACGACACAAATCTCATCTTCCTTATAATTTCAAGGTGAGTAGCTCCACCCCAGCGTGCCAACAGAAGATCCTGAGGTCTTGTCTAGATACTTGCTCACCTCCTCCCTCTCGAAACAGACTCGAACCAGGCCACATCAAAATATACCTGTGTAGGTTTTACCTGTTCAGTGGGTTTGAATGAAAGTGGTATGGAAAATGAGAATAACCAAAGTAGCACTTTTTGGATCAAGTCAAATTTCTAATAGAAAAAGATCCTAAAGTAATATGGAAAAACCCAATGACGTAACGGAAAAAGTTCATGAAGCTGTCGTCCTATAAATGCAAATTAAATTCACCAGACCTCAGAATATTTCATAGCCTTCCTTCTCCAACAGTAGAGCCTTAACAGAAATATTGAGAAATCTTAATACGCCTCACTGTGGCTGAAAGAACTAATAAGATTGCCACAATAGCTAACAACAGAATGCAAAAAAAAAAAAAAAAAAAAAACACAAAAACTAAAAAAAGAAAGAAAAAAAAAAAAAAAAAAAAAGTATTTTTTAAGGATGTCTAGATTAAATGTTAAAATTGACCACTGTCTAACTCAGAGCACCATATGTCATTAGTATTTTATACAGACTGTCATGTATATGGCAATTATAGATTAATACTTACCTGCATTATAAGAGGTTTTGCATGATTAAGAACAGATGTGCAAACAACCGCTGGTCTTGAATAAAACGTGTATTCCTGATAATGATAATGGTTGGTGAAATGGTCAGTTCTCTTCTCATTAGATAGGAATATTGACTTAATCTGAATACAAACAGAAAGGCTCACCTTTGAATGGACTGCAGTCCTCATATTAGCTGTCCCATGGGTGTCTCCAGTAGAACTGGTTAGTTCTTTGTGAAATAAATTTCTATGATCGCTTAAGATTTACATCACTTTGTTTTTACAACATTTTTTTCAACTCCAAACAATGATACAAAGAAAGAAATGTGAGTTGCAACTATCAGTGGAAAAAAATCTCTAATTCGCATTTTTTAAGGCAAGAATAGGTTTTTGATTTGAGGAAAAGAATGAATAGGTAGGTAGAAAAAATGGGGGTAATAGTCTTTACCATTTATGATCAACAATCAGTGGGGGTCAGAAGAAAACCCAAAGGGCAGATGTCATGAACTCTTAAGTCAACTCTTTCTTTTCAAATGAAAAAAAAGTCTCTTTTTGTAAAATGTCCACATACAGACCAAACAATGGGTTAACCTTTGAGAATATGATAATCATAGGACTCTTACCCCTCTCTAAATAACATGTTTTAACATAAAATTTCTTTGGTTTTAAACTTTTGACTAATGTTTTCAAGTTACAAACTATAATTGTACTTGCAAACAATATGTGTGCAGATATACCTATACACATGTATCTCATGACCATGGCCCAGTATCAGTGAATTTAAGTCCATCTGCTAATTGAACACTTTCGAGAAATCAAGGCTATATTACTTAGAACATCTAGATACACAAACTTTAACACCTGTAAAAGTGACATCCAAAATAGAGCTATCATGAAAAAATGGTGTGAGTTTCACTTGTTCACTTATATCACACACATAGCTATTGATTTTCATTTGCTTTTCCTCCCGGTTAACCAATCTTGAACTAATCTTTTGTGGAAAAATATTTTCACACACTTCATAAAACACACTGGAAGAAACAGTCATCATAAATTACACAAATTAGGAACAAGCTGTTTATCCACCTTTTAGTAAGTATAAAATTGACATTTTCCTGTCTTTAATGTGCCATGGACTTCTGCCATTCCCAATTTTTGTTATAATGGAAATGTATTACCAAGAAAGATTTAGCTTCCAAGTAGAAAGTAGCTACATACTTAAATGTTTATTTCAAAAACCAGCAACATGATGTAACATGATTCAATAAACATCTAGAGTATAAAACTATAGACATACAATTAGCAAATATGAGATTTTTCAATATAATACCTAAACCACATATTTATATTTTTCAACATAATACCTAAACTACATGTTTATTTTATATGGTAACGCACAGAAAAAATAACTGACAGGTTTTTTAATTTAACTAGAGAATACCATTTAGACAAAATTCAAAGGCCGTGAGCCATTCAAAACACACAAAAAAGATACTGTTCTATGACAACTGTTGGGCTGCGAGTAACTGATGAAACCAGAGGGCAGGATTTCACAGGTAAAACTGGCATGTTTTAAGAGTAGATGGATACTGCTCAGATACCATAGCAACAGATACGCTTCCCAGCCATCTCCTCTCACATTCCCATCCAGGACCACCACCTCAGAACCACCACATCAGAGAGGAAGCAGCACCTACGTTACTGATTTGCTCCTGGGTCCTCTTCAGCCTCTGCAGTTCAGGAGTGTCTGTGACGATGCTGAAGCCCCTCCCTTTGCTTTCTTCGAAATCTTTTTTGTACTTGACCTAACAAAGAGGAGAGAAATAAAAGAAAAATATGAACAGAAAAGTAAATGGAGGCCTCACAAATCCCACTCGGGACAGCCAAGGGCCTGGGAAACTGCTAGAATTGGAAGCAATGTCTACAAGCACAGCTCTAGAGGCATCCTGAAAGGTACAGGGAACTAACCAGACCACCTGGTCTGCGTTCCAGAAACTCTCTCTGCTACCTGTGTGCCTCCCTGGTTTCATCTGTTAGATGGTGATGATGATGATGATGGTGATGATGATGATGATGACGATGGCAACTATTTAATTGGTTATAAGGGGAAATAATCAAATGAATGTGTGTGGCTGATAGGCACAAATAAGTATAAGAGTTACTATTGGCACCATCAATACTATTGCCACTAAAAAAAAAAAAAAAGGGAAAAAAGTGGGAAAAGAAAGTTAAGTATAATATTCCCAAGCCTGTCTTGTAAATGAAAAAGCATCACTTTGAGCCTGGACTGCCCTAGAGAGTAGGGACACAAAATCAACAACCAGTCCTGCCTGTAAGTTTTCCTTCAACGTCATAAGGCAGAGCATATGGACATGATTACACTGGGCGGTGCTGCCAGATGTTCAGTATATACGTGCTTATGAAAATATTTATAAAGTAGGCCACACCTAGGGATCAGAAAGCTTTTCAAACAGGCCCCTGGCATACTGTGTGCAGAGGTATCTAAGGTGGTTTTCAGTGCTTAAATAAGCTCCTTTTTGCCAGGCATGGTGGCACAAACCTGTAATACCTACATTCAGGAAAGTGAGGCAGAAAGAACAAGAGTCGCAAATCAGCCTGGACTACACAGTGAGGTTCTGTCATAAAAGAAATAAGGGCTAGGGTATAGCTCAGTAGTAGAGTGCTTGCCTAGCATGTCTAAACCCTGGGTTTCATCCCTGGTACCAAGAGTAAATGGTAAAACAGACTCCTTTTCAACCAGGTTGGCTTTACCATGTCCTCGGGGGCCTGGAACAGCCACAGATTAGTCTTACAAAGTCCATCTCCTGTTATTATTTCAATAACAACTGTACAGCCAGCCAAATATTTGGCTTGTTAAATGCCCGGATGAACACATTCTGTTGTTTTTTTAAGCTGAAGTATCAAGAACTATGGAGACACTTTTCAGTAGCCCACATGATCCCTGAACGAAAAGCTTCAAATTAGCATTTAAATCATTACAGCACTTTATGAAAATTGGAGTGTAAAAGTAGATTCTGAGTAGGTTTGAAGTTTGTAGAGTCAGGTATGCAACGACTGCTTTTGCTGAGTCACTCTGTGCCTTTGTACCCAACCCTCTCAAGTGTCATTAGCCTTAAGGCGACTGGAAGATTTTCTTTCAGATGAGCTTGAAAGAAAAAAAAAAAAAGAACTAAAATTGTTGATGACAACAAATGGAAAAATTTAGCAGACTCATCACTTTCACCTTAAGAATATCTAATTTTCTCTCCATACTTTCATTTAAATTCATAAAAGTACTAAGACCCTTCCTTTAGTTATTGCCTTAAATGAATAACCCAATAAATGGTAATATTTTTATTACAGAGAAAATGCTGGGTGAGCTCGGCCTTCTAACCTCAATCTGCCAGCATGCATGAAGACATCCACAGCACATGCGGAAGACACGCAAGCCCCCTGGTACAGTCTCAGTGTGTCATGCCTGTCTAAGGGTAAGTACCGTGGGAGGCCGTGCAGTAAAACAAGGTAGTGAGCATGACAGGCCTGGAGACCTTCCAGCAAAGCAAGTCAAATCCTTTCATCCCCACCTGCAGTTTCAGCAAAAGAAACAGAGCATACTCTCTGCCGTTTGTTTTAAATGCTTATTTTAAGAAAGAAATAAAGGCTGGAGACATGGATCAGCACTTAGGAGAACTTGTTCTTGCAGAGAACCTGGGTTTAGTTCCTAGCAGCCATGTGGAAAGCAGCTATAGGCACCTGTAACTCCAGATCCAAGGAATCCAAGATCTCCTGCTTTAAATCGGCCCTACACCTACAAACAAGCAGGCACATATACACATCAATAAATTTCTAAAACCAAAGAAAGCAATAAAAAAAAAAACACATAGTTTGGAACCAATTAGCATCCTACAACAGTTTCTGAGTTCACACAAATCATTTGGTTTTGGCCTGCCTGGTCTTGTGACTTGCTTGGAAAGTGTGCAGTCATCTCTGTAAATGGTTCTCAGGGTTTGGAAGCCATTTCTGCCTTTTTTAATGGTGTGGTACACTCTCAACACCCACTCAAGCTCCGACCACCCAGTATTTGTTTACTATAGCCAGGCAGCCCAGGAGCCATTAGTCAGCTCTGTCTTTTCTACACTCCCACCCACTTGCATCCTGCCCAGCAACACAAAACCTGCAATGGCTCATGGAGCAGTTCAACAAATGTTTCAGAGGAGATGGAAAGAGAAAGAAAGGAAAGAAATTGATGAGAGAGGGAGGAACTCCACCCAAACCTAGAGCTGAGAGAGGGCTTCACAGTCAAGAAATGGAAAATGGCTCTGTGTGGCAGGACGTCCATCTGCCTCAGGAAGATGTGGAGGGGTTAGAGCTGAGCACAGAGCTCCAGGTCAGAATTTGAAAAAAAAAAAAAACCTGCTATCACAGTGCTCTTATAAATTAACTTAATACATTGATTGAAGTATTTATTTACTGGACCGCAGGTACATTCCTTCTCCCGGCCCCTTCCCCAGTAACAAATGTCTCCTCTTCCCTTGCTAACAGCGTTGGACATTAAACTTTCCTGTCTGGTCTTTTGTCTACTCAACTGTTTCTCAAAAGTAATGTTTCATGGTGATTCCACACAATGGCACCTCCAAAGAATGGCATTCTCTAGATTCTCCTCTTGAGGTTTTACTTAGTCTTTTATTCATTCAAAAAAAAAAAAAAAATCTACTGAATGGACGCTATTGGTCAGGCGTTGTGCCAGGTACGAAAACAATGCCTCAAGGAAAAGTCAACAATACCCAACCTCATGGAGGTTATGCCACAATACAAGAGATGGAGAAGACAAGGTCTAGGTCAAAAGAATGACATGTCAGCAAAAAAAGGCCTAAGAGACACAAGACAGGGATGCACAGTGTCAGAAATGCTGACCCAGGGAAGTCAGAGAGGGCCCCAATACGAAGGTGACTTTTCAGCAAGGCCTATAGAAGTTTGGAGCAAAAGGAAAGCCACGCTCATCTCTGAGGAGAGCTTTCCAGAGGGATCTGGTGGAACAAGGCTGTATACCTTTGGAGAGAGTGAATGCTACTGGGTTACAGCAACAAAAGTGAGGGGAGGAGAGGAAGGAAAGGGTGCAGAGTGAGCACGTGCATGCCCCGGGATGCTGGCTTTTCTTCCATGAGACACAGGGTACCACTGGAAGAGCATCAGCAGAAATACGTCCACACTGACATTCTAACAGCCTCTCTCTGCAAAGGCACAGGTGGGAAACAAGGGTCCAAGTGAGATACACAGTGTGGGAACCACTTCGCCAGTGTCCCTTCGTCAGAGATCAGTCCTGGGGTCACAGTATGCAGCAAAGTTCTCAGACCCAGAGGATTTTGGCTTCCTGGAGAATTTCCAGGTAGCTGTGCTCTTGTCAAATAGGGCTGGAAGAGCCAAAGTAGAGAAAGGACACAACCAAGATGCCAATCTGAGGTCAGAAAGGTTATATGTTGAACATAGGGGTGTGAGGGGTAAAGCAGTCTTACTTTCTCACAGTCTTACCCATTCAACACTAAATAAAAGCACTTGAAGAAATTATGCACTTTCTTTTTCAGTCTCTTGCTATGTAGCCCAAAGTAGCTTTGAACTAGTAACTCTCCTGCCTCAGTCTCTCAAGTACTGAAACTCCAGGCACAAACCACCATACACACATTCACACACACACACACACACACACACACACACACTGCAATTTTAATGTCAAATGTAAGAGCCACACAATTTGATTTTTTTATGTTTGCTTGCAATTTAAAATGTACTTGTGTCAAATGTAGAATGCTGTATAATACTGATATTCTGTGTGTGTATGTGTTGGCATTCTGAGCGTGCATCTGTTATAGATACATATGCGTGTATATGTGAGTTGATAGTCAAATATGTGCATGTTTGTGTACATAGACTTAAAACACTCAAGTACATATGTTTACCTGGACATTAATTTTAAATCACAAGTAAGGGAACAGAGAAAGATTGATACCCAAAAATACGTGTGATGTGTTCAGTTATCCAAAGACATGTGATATAAGCCAGTGGATCTCCAATTACAGAAAGTTAAACCAAACATTCTAAGTTCCTTCATCTTAATGAAGATATTTGATTAGAACAGCATAAATCTGATGCATGAAAGCAATAAAAAATATATCAAGAGGGTGAAAGAGTAGAGGGTTCCAAACATGAGCTAATGAGGAACTAGAAGTTCAAGAGGACCCACAGGTGTGTGGCAATGGCCAGGGCAGAAAGAGAGGGAAGTTCAGCCTTAAAGCAGCTTGCCAGACTATGTTTAATGGAACCCTAAAACCTATGGGCATAGTTATCACCGATTCATGTTCTCGGGCTTATTGTTACTTCATTTCTGATGCAATGAAATCAATGACCAAGTCCATCATCTTACATTCCATGACCGATGTATCACATTCTGTGTAAGGGAAGACTCTGAGGGTTACAGAATCATAAAACTGCATGTAAGATGCTTAGTTCGATCTGCAAAATGTCCTCAGTTACGTAGAGTCCAGGACAATGGAGAATGGGGCCACGTATTTCCTCAGTTTGGTGCCACACACACACTCCTTCACGACTGATTACTATCTGGTCTTGTGTTCCTAAGGCCTAAAATGCAGAAAATTGGTTCACCTACAACGCTTTATGGGAATTAAGTACTACAAAGGAAAATCTGCTCAAAGGCTTTCTTTAAAGGTTAAGTTAATTTTAACAACTGTTAAAGAAATCAGCTCAAAGGTAAATTTGCTTTTTTATAAATTAATCTCATTATTTGTAAATG